TTGTGAATCTTTAACATGTACGATTTGTTTTTCCTATCGGATACAATTTCTGCAATGTTGAAACTTCTCTTTTGATTGATTAGTGTTATGACCATTATTGATATTTTAATATTAAATTAATATTTTTAATAATGAATTATTGTTATCCAAGTCGGAGATTGTTAGATTAATTATTTTAACTAATCAAATGTGGATTGACATAATTAATTATTAATAAATCATATTATGGTCAATTCTTGTAAACATTAATTATTGATGAATTACATGATAATGTTTTGCGCTTGAATGGACCGTGATGTGTTGGATCATTCAGTTAATCCCAATGAGATGTCTCTGCCCTCAGTCGTTTAACTATTTAAGTGTCTCCCCATTAGACAATTAACATACTCTAAAAATCCTAGACGACAATGAGGGTAGTAATCCTCTCATACTCACTCTTCTGATGATCATCTCTCAAATCTTATCAGGTACACCGTTCTTATTGTCCTTGATTATTCAATAATATTATAATGCGTTATAATTTGTGTCTATCATTTCTAATAAATCCTATCAAATGAGCCACATTCTCATTTTGTTAGAAATGAGTCTGGAGATGCATCTTTGTAATAATTTCATATACACCTCACTCATTTCTAAGTGATTTATACCCTCGTTTTGTCATAATTTAATTTGGAGATGCATCTCCGTATAAGTTACGAAAACATAATTTTGTAATCATTCGTTAGACAATAAAATTTGTCATTTTTTGAGAAATGCACTAATGTAATAAGCCATTTGTAATAACTATAATATCATTACAAAAATTCTTATCAATTAAAGCATACACTAATGTAATAAGATTAAAATGTCATATATTAGAAAAATTCCAATTCAGAATGCATAATAATATTATCAAAATAACAAATTAAAAAACCATAATATTATCCATAATCCATAATACAAATATTATAAAGCACTACGCAGTATTTCAGACTCTCTATTCCTTCGCTGCCACCTATACTCCAACGTTGTTTGTACCTTAGATGGAATGACATCTATAATGACTCTCTCAAAAGTGCCTTCTGAAAAGTCAACCTCTCTCTCTCTCTCCCTCTCTCCCTCTCTCTCTCTCTCTCTCTCTCTCTCTCTCTCTCTCTCTCTCTCTCTCTCTCTCTCTCTCTCTCTCTCTCTCTCTCTCTCTCTCTCTCTCTCTCTCTCTCTCTCTCTCTCTCTCTCTCTCTATACCCGCGCTCATGTAATATCTACAATATGACGACATGCATGTATCACATCAACGACATGATCTACTTTAACTTTCTCCCCCTCTAATGTCTCTTGATGAGCTAGCCTAGGTGGATCACTTAGAGCATCTAGGGTCATATAAGGATGTCACTCTAAAATACAGTTGGATGTATCTGAATGCACTGCTTCATTCGCGAGGAGCTATCATATTTCATCTTTCATCTAGTACCGGGTGATTATAGAAATCATCATACATTGCATTTACATCTCTACTGACCATAGTAGAAGGAGCAGACACAAAGGGTTCTCGTGGAATACCCTATATAAACCTGAACTAACGCATGACTCGCTCAGGAAGATGTGGATACATCATACGTGACCCACAAGCCGACCATCCAAAATAGAAGGTTGTATCATCCAAGGGACATTCTGACAGTGATCGTCGTACGTCCAAAAGCGTGTATCATCTTCTGTAGTGAGGTCAAGAAACAATCTGAAGGGCATGGTCGATCGATTCTCTTTGAGTTGGAAAAATGCACAAGCACAAATGATCTTTAGTGTAGTCATTAACAAATGACCAGGTGGAGATGCGTGGAAAGTTTTGGAGGATCAATGCCTTAAAATGGTACAAATGGATTAGTAGTAGTGACGTAGCATAAATGTTATGAAAATGGTACAATAATAGTAAAGGATGCAAATATATTACCATAAATAACATGTAACTAGTTGTCATCTGTTTGGCCTTCCAAATACAACCTTCAGCTAACTTTGAGTACATGTAAATCAAACAAGAGACCTCTCAATTGTACTCATGAATCTGCTCCAAATCAAAGAAGTATCTGAGGTAAACCACATCGACGTAATAAGCGCTTTTGTCCACAAATATGGACGTGTCAACCAAGTACATGAGGTACGACCTCAATGCACATGCTTTATGATGCATAACTTGTGTATCATCATCATTGGATTCCTCTTCCCTGGTCATGTGGTGCGCATGCAGGTTCTCAAAGAATTCAAATCTAGCATGACACCATCAGGTTTCTTTTAGACCCTTTAGATCATCCTCTGGGTCAGCTCCTAAATAGTTCACTGTCATCTCTAGCGTATCAGGCCTGGTCATCCAGGAGCAGTCTAATAATCTTCCCTTAATCGAAAGATGTAGCAAGGATGACACATCATCTAGTGTGAAGGACATCTCACCATGGAGAATATCAAAATAAGATGTCTTAGAGTGCCATCTTTCAACAAAAACTGATAACATTTATGGTTAATAGTAGTATAACTAATGTTTCATTGCATCATGAAATCACTGCTCTTCAGGCTGTTGCATCCTCGTAATCTTCCTACCATGGTTGGTGCATTTTAAAGCATCATAGTACTACAAAAAATACATCATCGTCAGAAAGTTTGAGCATTATAACACATATGTTTCAAAGAATAAATACATACAAAATTTACCTCTTCACTCCACAAGTCTCTAATAGCATGGTCGGCATACAAAGGCATCATTAATAACAGGTGCATCAACTAGGACTAGTGGGTGTTCTGGAGTAGCAGCAGGTGACACCTACTTCTGGGAAGATGAAGTTAGAGATGTAACACCCTAAATCGCACCTTAAACCCCATATCTCTTTTTTTGTGTGGATATAAACAATGCAATAATTTATATAATAAATAGTATACAAAACACAGTGTATCACATATTTCTCATAACATACATTAGCAAATTCTCATTCTTGGGTAACATGTTCCGGATTCACAATAAAACATTGGAAAGCAAAACCATAATATTCTTTAAATTGCAACCCCAACCTTGATGTCACTGTATCAGAACTTTATTTAGACTAAACCCTTAACTGGCTAACATATGTCAGCAACACAACACATATAAGACTAAGATGGCCGTCTACACCAACTTCATTGGGTCCCCTCACGAAGCAATTACTCTTCAATCACATCTTTAGGGTATCCTGTTTAGAGGTACATCGTAGAAACAAAAAAGTCAGGGGGTGAGAATAGATTTTACAAAAATAAATAGCATAAAAAAAAGGTAGTACAAAACAAACATTCACAATCATCATCACAATATGGAAAATACCATGTTAATTCATACAATCACACATCAATTCACATGTATTTTATGCAATGCACGCTAGCCTCTAGTCCATATGCACGTGGTACTAAACACTGAACTCAAACTATATTCATCGAAGTAAATATGTGTTACACTCCTAACCACAACAACTCTTTATAGGATCAACAATCTAACAGTACATGTGGACTACATTCGTATCATGACACTCTCCCGAGTTCTACAGTTTAGGAGTACATTTGAGCTACATCCGTACTACGACACTCTCCTAGACGTTCGTAGTCATGCAATGCCTAGAAGTACATATGAGTTACATTTGTACTATAACACTCTCATAAACTCAACCTACTTCCATGCTAGTATGATGCATGAATAAACCATTAACAATAATCCTCCTAAACCTCCTTCCTCTTTGAAACACATTCATTTACACTACCATATAAGGGTTTCATAATAATTTCCTTATGACATACTTTCATCACTGCCATATATGAGTTCACATTGATTCATTTAAATCACTCACAATTTACCACAATCATACTAATATAGTAGTATCATTAATTAACTTTTATCATAAGAAATTTTATCACGTTTGCTTTCTAATGTAACTAACCGCACTTCAAATGGATTTACAAAACACAAGTTACACGTGAAACAAGATAACCAATACTAGAATTGGATTTGACTACTATAACGGTATAAGAACCAAAAAACTACTATTGATATACCAAGAAAGCTAAGAACTAAGGAGTGTGGTGAGGATGGTGCTAGAAGAAGATTGCCTGGTGTATCTTATAGGTGTGCAAAATATGATAAATTTGGACACAATATTGAGTCATGCAAGAGCAAGAAGCAAGATCCAAATGCCTTGAAAAGAAAGGTATTGTTGTTTGTTTGTTTAGCACTGTTTGTTCAAAATTTTATAGGTGTAAACAATGTTCTAATATTTTCTGTCATTTGGAGTGAATGCTAATCAACCAACTGATGTAAGTCAGCATGATGGTTCTGCTAGTCAAAACCAACCAGCTGGTACAAGTCAACATGATGCAGTCACAATTGATACAAGATTGTTTGGTGATATTTCTAATGAGATCATGCCAACCACACCTGACACCAACATAGCAAATCTAGTTATGCAAACAACAAATGACATCAGCTCAGCAAGTACCAAAAGGAAAGGCAAAGCTAAAGACAAATAAGAAAGAAAACCAATGAAAAAAAGGTTAAGTGAGAGAATTAAACTAAAATGGTTTCAAAAACCAATCATAGGGCATGATTCAAACCCTAACCAACCAATGTATTTTCAGAAGAAGAATGAGATATTCTGACACAAGAAGGCAATGGATCTCAAAAATATCAAAATGCAAAGGGTCCAAATAAATCTCCAAAGAAGAAATCAAATAAGTAGTTTTATGGCCTTTTGTAATCAATTATATCCTTGTGTAATGACTTATGTATGCCATTTTGTAATGACTATAATGCACAATATTAGTGCCATTTTATAATGACTGATGCACACTTTTGGTGCCATTTTGTAATCATATTATGAACTAATAATTTCATTACTTTTTATCACAATCATTGAATGACAACAAAGTTAAACACTTCATTAACTTGTGCATAATCTTCAACATTGCAAATAAGATGAAAATACATCAAACTACATAATATTATAACAAAATGAAAATTACAATAACTTGTACAACATTGCAAAAATAAACCAAGACATCATAAATGCCATCTTCAAATTGAAATACTTCTTCTTCTGAACTTCAATCTTCATCTTTGCTTTTTCTAACTTCTTCGCTGTGATTTCGAACTTCACATTTTCCATCTCAAAGTTTTGGAAACTTGCTTGAATATTAGAATTCTCATTCACACAGTCTCCAATTTCGTCATCCCACACAAACAGGCCACTGCTATTCCCATTCATACAGTCTCCAATTTCGTCATCCCACACAAACAGGTCACTGCTATTCCCATTCTACAAACACAAACAACATTTACACAACTATGAACATCTTAAACATCAGTTTTTGATTTTAAACAACACTTACAAAACCAACATTCTTACTCCTGTGTTACGACATCTCCAAAATTTCCTATTACGGTTTTGAACAGTATTGGCGATCCACATCTTCATTACACGATCGCATCCACACCTAGGTAAAGATGGAAATTCAACAGAAGGCGTGCTGCTGCTTCCAACTGAGTTGCTTCCAACCATGTTATCTTATACGCAAAATTGTACTAGGGAGAAGAAGAACAAATTCAGAAGAATGGAAAAAGAAGAACAAAAACACAAAGTGATTTTGGAGCCCTGGGGAGAAGAAGAAGAATAGGAATGAAGCAAATGAAGAAATGCACAGTCAGCCTATCAACGTGGCATTAAATTATATAGCCAGCGAAGCATCAACTGCCAACTAGGATGCCTCATTTACACAGTCAGCGAAATTGTGACCCTAAGGTCGTCATTGAGGGAATTTGGATTTGGTAAGGGGGATCACCAAAAAAATTCTTATAGGGGGTGAAAACAAAACTCGCTATATTGGAAAAGGTGACGTATAATTAACCCTACTACTACTAATAATAATATCCTTAAATAACACTAATATTAACAAACACCTAGTATTTAAACAATAAAATATTAATAAAATATTTAAATAATATTAAAATAATAAAAATTAAAATTAAAATTTGGGTGTTACGGGAGACACCTGAACCCTATAAGTTGATGATTCTGCATAAAAAAATGGCATCAACTGATGTTCCTAAGCGTTAGGGACTTTCCCTACAAATTATGTCTCATTCGTTCTTAGTTGTCAATGATGTTAACTATAATTAAACTAGACAAACAGACAAAGCAAAAAAAGTTAAACCCAAATGAGAGACATACAAAATCAAACCGAACAATGCAAATAGACAAAATACAGAACTACACTTTCGTATTCCTAAAAAACTTAAATTTTGAACAAATATGGAAGTGCACTTCTATAGTTTACTGCAACTTAGAAAAGGAAAAAATGGAAAAATGCGGGGTACGAAAATGGGACAAAATATTTGTGGCATAAAACGTAATGTTGAGTATAACAACCTAACAATAAGTGTTGTAGTGATATATTTGTAAAAGGCCTAGCTAAAGCTGGGAGGGTTATAGCCCTTAGAATGGGTGAGAACCAGGTGTTGCCCCTAGGGGGAATCGCCTTTCCCTAAGTGTCTCCTATTCGCTCGATTATGGGAAACATGGAAAAATACCTTTCTTGGTCAGAGTGTAGTTAAGGTCAATAGCTGATCCAATCCTCAAGAAAGTATGGATTCAACGGTCCACCATTGATTAATGGGTTATTATTATTCCCAAGGAAACCCTAGGCTCAATAGCCTATATGAATACTCCTTCCTTAACGGGAGAAAGACATAGCATAACCTAATTAACATTACACATAATATAGAGCCTCTCACCTCACGTGAGCTAACCCCACTTACTACCATACAGGGCGTCTCGCCTCTACAAGTAAATCTTAACCACCTTAATTATTATAAACTTACTAAGGCCTTTGAGTATCCCCTACCCTTAAAGTTATACCATGCATACCTATATTTTTTGATCAGTGCAGTGGAGCCCACCGTGAGACCCCAGTAAAACTAACATGGGTCATACCTCTTTCATCATCATCATTTCACTATTCATCTGATGATGTGTTATAAAGCTCCACACTTCATGGTCAACCTTATAGCAGGAGGTTTCACCGATGGAGGAATTTTTAACTCTTCTTAGAGGAAATACACTCGAGAGGTGTTGACTACGAACATCATATACCTAGAGTTCCCCAAAGGGAGAAAGGAGAATTGGGAATTGACATCACCTTCAATAGAATTGATGCCACCAAAATGATCACTCATAGTATTGACCTCATAGTCATCACTATGCAACATGGAAATTGGAACATCAAGCTAGTCCTAAAAGATTCTTGGGAGTTCAATTGAAGTCCTGTCATGGGATGCTTTTTAAAGGCTTCAGCTCGATCCCAACAACCTCAAAGCCCTAGAAACAACTTGTAGTGAGGGAATAAATTCTAGACCGATTGAAGTCAGCTATCTCATAGTAGATGCCATGTCGCCTTACAAAATCATCTTAGGACACCCCACCATTAATGCGTTGGGGTGGTTATTTCCACTTTGAATCTGGTCCTGAAGTACCTGTTGCCTGATAGGGAAAGTCAGAACAGTTTAAGGAGACCACAGAGCACTCAAGAGTGTTACCAGAGCAACCTAGCGATAAAAAGTGAAAAGCTCGCCCTTATGGCCACCCCCTTCCCAAAGCCCTTGATACAAACATTGATTATTGGGATCCAAGGTTGGGTGCTTCCAACGAGAGACTCATGTCCACAGAGGACCTAAAAGAAGTCAGGATAGACCCATTATCCTATCAGGTGACGAAGATAATAACTTCAATTACCGTGGAATAAGAAAATGGGCTATTCGACCAACTCATTAGAAAAATCGACTTGTTCGTCAGGGCTCCCTTTGATTTTCTAGCAATAAAAACTCTAGTGGCGTACCCTCACCTTGTTGCCAACCCTTCCTCTAAAATAGTGTCTTAAAGGAAGTGTAAAGTTATCAAATAGAAGAGGGTCTCCATTAACGAGGAAGTAGGAAAGTTATCTTGCGCTTAAGTTCATCACGGAAATGAAATAACCTACCTAGTTGGCCAATGTGATGTTGGTAAGGACAACAGAGAACAAGTGAGGCATGTGTGAGGACTTCGCCGACCTAAATTTAGCCTACCTTAAGGACAAATATCTGCTTCTAGGCATTGATCGCATGATCAACAGGTCCTCAGACTATCACACATTGAGTTTCATGGACACTTACTTGGGATACAACCAGATCTAAATGGAACCCCAAGACGACTTTCATGTCAAATAATGGCAACTAATACTATAATGCCATGCTCTTTGGTCTTAAGAATGCTGGAGCCTCCTAATAACGACTCATAGATGTTATGATCTCCCACCAGATTTGGAGAAACCTAGAAGTCTATGTGAACAACATGATAGTAAAAAACACTGAAAGTTACCGTCATGTTGTAGACTTAGAGGATGTCTTGCATTCAGTCAGGAAGTATAACATTTGCTTGAATCCTGCCAAGTGTTCTTTTGGGGTTCAAGTTGGGATGTTCTTGACGTACATGCTAACAAAGAGGGGCATTGAAGTATATCTAGATAAAGTTAAAGATGCCATTAATATGAGAAGCCCCCACAAACACCAAATAGCTTCACCAGCTTACAGGCCACCTCACCGCCATATCATGCTTCCTCTCATGTGTGGGCAACAAGGCCTTCCTTTTAAATGTATCTCTTAAAAGTTGTATAGTTTTAGAAGTTGTTGTGGCCATTTTGCACAGTATCAACAGGTTGTTGAACACACAATATGGAGATGGATCTTTGAATATGTTCACGATAGCTTTCACGAATCATTTCAACTTGTTATATCAATCAGCCATTTTGCGAGAGGTGAGGGTGAGATGTCGATCTATTTCCTTGTGGGGTTGAGTTTCTTTATGGTTAAGCAACAAACCTTGGGGATGAGCATATTATGTCAGTCACTAGAGTGCAATAAGGTGACATGTTAACGCTACTCTTTTTACTCTTATATTACACCAACTTATTCATCATATCAGGGGAAATTATAAGCTTCTTATTCATGTCTGGTACCTTGATGATGGGACCATCATAAGGGATTTAGAGGAGGTGGCTAAAATCCTTGACATCATTCAGAAGACCCGTCTAGGATTAGATCTCGAATTAAATATTCATGAAACAGAGATCTTTTGGCATTCATGTGATGATAGTAAACTTCAAGGGGAGTTATTTCCTTCATATATAGGGAGGTTGTTGTTATAGATGATGTTGCTTGGAGAGGTTGTTAGTCGAGATGAAGGCTTTATCGAGGGGTTGTCCAAGAAGAGAGCTACTAGGGTTGTTGAGCTCATGTATCTTCTTCCACAACTAAGAGATCCCCAAAGTGAGCTCTTCTACTTTGTTCTTGAATGGGTACCGACAAACTCTTTTTTGGCATTAAAACATGTCAATCTAATTATATGTAGAAAACATCGATTTGGTTTGATAAAGAGTTGTGAAAGGCAGCTGAAGACGCTGTAGTTGGCGGAGGTCCTTTCTTCGGGGACCTTCAATTGAGAGTGACTTACTTACCTAATAGAGTTGGGGGATCGAGTTTATACTACGAAGTAGAAGTTGTCTCATACACACTTATGGCTTTTAATTCTCAATCTTGAGCGTTACAAGATCATATATTGAAAGACAGTGGGATATATGATATGGACCTTGATTTCAATTGAGTTTTGGATGATCTTAGTGTTGTGATTCTAGATTTTGACCTTAGCGGTTTCACTAGAAAGGAAATTGTCCCCCCTAAAGCACAACATGTTTCGGCGAGTGCCCCTTTTAGTAAAAGTGTTCAGAACATTGATGTAAAGTTTGACATGACCACAAGATAGAAAGAAGTTTTTGGTTGTCTGCAAGCAGCACATGCTCAAGATTTTCTCCTTGTTATCCCTATCGACTGTCTAAGCCAACATATGTCCCTGGTATAGTACCATACCATCCTTACCGACTTATGATTTTTGTATTTTCTGTTGATTACGTTTGCCCTATTTGTCGAAATATGTGCTTGAATAAATTTTGGAACACGCTATTCATTGGAAAATGCTTCTAAGATTCAAATACGGACATCACTTTATTACGGATATCCTATTTGATATATTTAGGCATGCATGGATATATGTGAATAAATAGACAATTGTGAATTTTCTGGTGTATGAATGGGAAAGAGGGAAACATGCATGTGTAGATTGATTGGGGTTTTCCACTGGTGAGACTAAGGACTAGAGGTTTTACTATGTGATAGACAACTTTCAAATTTGTTTCAAGTAAAGTTGTCAAACATAAGAAAGCGTGTTCCGACAAATAATACGCTCTCATATCATTTTTCTTTAACACTTTTTTAGCACCAGAACTAGTTGATCTTTTACGGATAGTGCAAAGACTCATGTATAACAATGTTATGTTACCTAAGACAATATATGTAGTTTTTAAAAGAATTAATTTTGACATCAAAAAAGGACAGTGGCGCAGCTTGCTGCATGTTTTCTTCCTATTTCTTTATATTATTGATGTAGAAATCATTTTGAATGAACTTATAACTTAA